CTCCGCCACCCTCCAAACGAAATAGGATCCTTGCTATTGCTGGAGAAAGAAGGAAGGTAGATAGATAGATGTATATATATTTATTTAGAGAAGCCTGTTAATGGGGGCTTCCCTTCTCCCCGGGGCCCCTATTTGGCATCCTGCTGGAAGAAATCGTTGTAGGACATGCAGAGGGCCGAGAGAAAGCCCGTGTATTCCTTGAAATCGATTTCGTCGTCGTTATTCTTGTCGAGAGTCTCCATGAGCTTGTCGATCCCTCGGTCCTTCATCTTCTGCAAGAGGGGAAAGGTCTGAGTTCGAGCGTCGCCCAGAGCCGCGATATTCGCCGCTGGATGGCGGCGCGACGGGCGGGTTCGGCCAGCCCAGCCCCACTGGAGCCTGTTAACTCCAATGGGTAGTTTGCTTTGCGGCTTTGGCACCGCTTGGCGCGAGGGGCAGGCTCGGCTTGGGGTTCTAGTCCTCATGATTCTGAGGCCCAGGTGGGCTCAGAACTGATGGGCAGAACTGACCCTCCAGATTTTTTTCCCCTTGCGTTTTTTAAAGTGCCCAGAGGTACCTCCGTCATTCAAGAGGTGAACGCCACCCCCGCAAGCCTGCTTACCTCTCCCAGGGCCAGCTCTTGTTTCACCAGCTCCTTCAGCTCTCGCTTGCTCAGAGTAAACTTGTCCCCTTCTTTCCCCGAGTATTTGTGGAAGGTGTACACCAAGGTGGCCAAGGCCTTCTCCAGTGGCGTCTCCATGGCCGGCGGGCACCCAAGCGGGTCTGGCGCCAGGAGGGAGAGGAGAAACGAGGGTCGGTCGGTGGCAAGGGGTCGGCAGGCGGCCGCGGGCACGCTTTCCCTGGCTCTGATCCCAATCCAATTTTACGCTGGGCGCAGTCGCAGCCCACCCGTCTAATTCCCGGCCTCCGCAACAACCCAGCCTTTCTATTCCGCTTTCTCTGGTTAATTCGCTTTTTAAAAAAATGCCACTCTTGGCCCTGTTTGCCCAATGTAAGCTTTTTCAGTGTCCTTTTTTTCCTGGATGGAAGTTCTTTTTTCCTATAAATGTAACCTCCCTGTTTATGTAATTTTTCCTGGGGGGGATTGGGGGTGCGTTCTTTCCTAGAGGCCCTCTGCCTAAACCCTTTTTGCAGGCTGAGAAACGCCGCGGCAGAGGGACTTTTATTAAAAGGAGAACAAGGTTATACACCGTTTTTTGCAGTTTTTGTAAGAACTGAGGCCTGGACGGGGGAAGAAAGGGGTGCCGGACAAGCCATTATGTCCGCTGTATCTTCAAACTCTTTTTTTAAATTTCTTTTTTAGCAGGATGGACTCAAAGCTTCAGGCCTGGATGTTCGAGCTGAGTAGGCATCGGCTGGGAATTGTGGATACCTGCTAGCACCCAGTTCCCACTGAATTTGCACACCTATAGGAGCAGAGGCCTCCAGGTAAGTAAAATTGTGAATCATTATTAACTTGGGTAAATAGGTGCGAATTTGAAAAAGCCACCGCCTTGCCCAAACATTAAGCCAGCTCAGACTGGTGGAACATTAAATACAGTAATCCACCCTTTTAACCCTGGCCAACTTGGCGGTGGGTTTACACTTCCCACTTAGCAACGGGTGTGGCTTTCAGCGATGAAAAGATCCATGCAAGAATTTAATCAATAAGGGTAGGTTGGCATTACGATCCACTGAATATTTATTACGTGGGTTCGGAGTGCAGACTCTTATCTCCAAGAGTCCTAGAGCGCGAACTGAAGAGGAAAATGGGTGCTTGATTAGCTCTGCCGGAAGGACTGATTGCAGTAAAAAGTTGAATTTAAAAAAAACCCTCGTCTTTCTGGTTCCAAGATGCTTTCCGTCCCAGAGTCGCCGGGAGTTGGGTAAAATTTAATATAACATTTCATACATTATTATTCATTATGCTGATGGTGACTAACCCGGCATCACTGGGAGAGCCTACAAGCAGGAGGCAAAGGCAGAACCCTTTCCCTGCAGCTTGTTCTCCAGGACCCAGGATTCTGAGTTAGACTGCTCCTAGATCTGGAGGCTTAGCGGACAGCTGCTAGGGAAAGGCAGGCAGGGAGAAACCTCTGCCAAAAAGCAAATGCATTGAAATTACAGCAAGGCGAGCATTCTGGCCACTTCACTGGGGGCTGGACCACAATTTGGCCTGAAGCTCTGTGGCACCCAACGACGGGAAGCCAAACATTTTAAAATCGACATTAGATAAAGGCAACTCACCGAAGAAGAACACGGACGATGGGCTTGGGAGGCAAAGCAGGGAATTGGGTGTGGTGTGTAATTATCTTCTTATACACGGTGTGGGGGGTCTCTAGAGACTGAGGCTAGCAGAAAGGAACATGGGAAATTCTGCCTGCCCTAAGGGACCCATCGCTTCGCCCTTTTCCTCCCTACGTTCACATTTGTTTGATCTCGGATCAAAACTCCCCAGTTTTGGAGCTGCCTAATGCCCGTCCGAAATACAGACCTCCCTGGCAGGCGAATCATTTCCAAAATTTTCCCAGGCACATTCTTTGCCTCCCTCCGTTTTTAACATGCGTTTCCTCTCCTGATGTTTTAAAGGCTTTTTTCTTTTTCTTTTAACACCATTTTTATGGGAAGTTTTAAGGGCAATAATAAGAACTAAGACCAGCTAAAATAGAACGGAGAGAACAGACAGGAAAGGAAGAAGGAAGGAGGGAGGGAGGGAAGGAAGG